AGAGGTCGCCACAACGGAATGAACCGCCAATAATTATTTAATTTATTTAAATTTAAGTGTTGTCACACATTTAGTTATAAATTGAGTGATACCTACAAAAACAAAAATAGGTGAAATAAAAGAGTATCAAGTGTTCTACCGGTGATGGTAAAAAATCTTGAGGAAAAAAAATACAAATAAAGAGAAAAAAATTTTCATAATCCATTTGATCTATTTTACATTTTGGGTTGTCAGGTTTAGTTACCCTGCTGAGAAAACAGCTTAAACCAGCCTTAACTGGTTAGCTGGTCTACCAGCCTGACCAGCCAAAACTAGCTATGTCCTGCATAAACCAGGCTTTTTTTAACATTAAAAACTTTTTTGTCTCCCAACAACAAACAGAACATCAAATATTTGTCAGACACTTTTATCTGTTTTCATTGTGGGAAAATCAGTCCTCTCAGTGTTTACGATGGTTACTCTCACACACTCACGCAGTGACAACTATTTGCACTTTTGTCTTCAGAATGCCTCATCGTTTGTATATCTGTACTTTGGGATTCTGGAGTTCTAGACAATCGCTGTGAGTTTCTCCTCCTCCCCCTCTTAATGCCAGAGCGGTCAAATCGCCAGCAGTAGCCTGTGCCGGTGTGCCGGAGCGGGAGATCCGTGTTCTCAGGGCGGAGTCGCGCTGCTCGTGGCCGCTGCACTGTGTGCGATTAGGAGTGGCCTGTGCGCCAAACCCTCGACGACAAATATTGACTCGGCCTTCACTGAACTTCTGTCTCCAGGAAAAGTGGAAAGGTGAAAAGGAAGAATGAATTCAGTTAGGGTTAAGGACACCTCAGCAATTCATTCAGCCTACGACGCCATATTCTGTTCACTGAAGGATTAAGATAAGTGGACAGAGATTGTTCAGGAGATCGGTTCAAAACAGTCCTCTTTCTTTCTTTCTTTCTTTCTTTCTTTCTTTCTTTCTTTCTTTCTTTCTTTCTTTCTTTCTTTCTTTTTTTCTTTCTTTCTTTCTTTCTTTCTTTCTTTCTTTCTTTCACAATGTTTACTTTTTTATATGTGGCCTGTTTTCAAAAAGCTTATAAAAACTTGTTTTCTTTTGTTATCAACATTATAGTGATAAAAAGTGACAGGAATGATATTAATAATGCTACAAAAATTTATATTTACAATTTAACCTTATTCTTGTAAGGTTTTATACAAGAATCCTGACAAAAATAAAACATTTTAATCATATAAACCAGAAGTGGTAACAGTATTTCTACTGATTACTGCCACTAGTGCTGCCGCTGCTACTAATACTACTAAGCTGCTACTACTACTACTAATAATAATAATAATGAGGACAAAAAGAAAAAATTAAGCTGAAATTGCAGTTTTCCATCAAAGAAATAAATATTAAAATATATTCAGATATAAAACAATTAAAATTTTGTTCATTCATTTTATTTTATATTTAATATTTTATTAGAATGTGTAAAATTAAAATATTCAATTATTTACATTTTTATATTATTAAACATTTTTCAGAAGCTTGAACACATTTTCTTTTGACTTAAGGATCAAAATTTTGACATCTGGAGGGGTTAAGTCTCAACACTCTATTTTGTGAAAAATTGTCTATAAAAGTGGCTCCCAAAGTGGAGGTCGAGACCCCTCGGGTTGCTTGGTTATTTCCCAAAATCTAAATCATTTTATTTAATTATTAATTCCTTCATTCATTTTCTTGTCGGCTTAGTCCCTTTATTAATCCGGGGTCGCCACAGCGGAATGAACCGCCAACTTATCCAGCAAGTTTTTTAGCAGCGGATTCCCTTCCAGCCGCAACCCATCTCTGGGAAATATTTAATTAGTAAAATTATTATATTTTAATATTTTATTCATAACCTACTGAATAAACAAATAGTAGTTAAATAAAAAAAACATGCAAATTAAAATCCATCAGCCTTTCGATTGTTTTGCGACCCCTGGGGTGATTATGTTATATTAAAGACACATAACATTGATTTTATGGCACCAACTTTCTTTAAGACATCTTTACAGCATTCCCGTTCAAGATTAAATACAGGCCACAACTAAACATGGAGAATGAACTCCGAGTGGGTTCTTTAAAATGAATTGTTGAATAGACTTGGGCCTACTGGTTTGTGTGCAGTGTTATGTGCAAAGTATATATATTCATAACCACCTCAGAGGATATTGAGGGACGCGAGTCACTGGCATTGTAATTTTGGGGGTCGCTCTGGTCTATAAGACAAACCTGTCATTTCCATCATGGTAGAAATATATAGAGAAATGTCCACCTGAAGGACACAGAGAGTGAAGTCATAAAAAGCCTGGATTCATTGAGTCTGAGTGGTGTTGGTTGTCGAAGAGGCCTGACTTGATTCCACTGCACAAAGACACCATTGATCCTCGGCTGGTCACATTATCTCAGAGCAACTGGTGGAAAGGGGTTCTGCCAGGCCTGAATTACAACATTATTTCAGTCAAATTAATAGACATTCACCTCTTGAGCTCACATACAATGACTTGCTCTGGAAATGTTAACTGTATATGCTCTGTATGCTTACGCAACATGACAGAGGATGTTACACAATGATTGCTTTAACTATCATGTAATGCATCTATCAGAGTCATTTCTGAATTATCAAACTAAAATGTCGCTGATGGTCGTTTTCTTTTATTATAAAAAATATGAAGAAAAAAAAGAATTATAAATCGATATTTGTTATATTATAACACACAGTTGAGGGCAAGATTTTTAGCCTGTAAAATATTTATTCTTTTTAAAATATATATCATGTGATATTTAATGGAGCAAGGATATTTTCACAATATTTACAATAATATATTTTTCCTTCTGGAGAAAGTCTCTTTTTTTGGCTGGAATAAAGAAGTTTAAATTTTTTTTAAACCATTTTAAATAAAAAATGACTAGCTACCGAATCCCTTAAGTATTTTTTAATATGCTACAGACCAGTCCATTGCTATACAACAAATTGCATATATATATATATATATATATATATATATATATATATATATATATATATATATATATATATATATATATATATATATATATATATATATATATATAATTTAATTTCAAACGATAAACTGAATAGTCAAATAAATAAAGAATTAATTTATATGTAAATAAAAAAATACAAAACGAATAAATAAAAACAACAAAACCTTACAAAGAAAGAAAAAATACCCTCAAACATCTTCAGAATCAGCAGTCTTAAGGACACGTCAGTGCTTAGAAGAACTCCATTCAAGAAACTTCCTTTTAAGCAAATGTTTGAGGAACAGGATTTCAATGTAGACTATACAGAATCCTGTATACAATACACACCCTATTATATTGCAGATATCCAATTATCAGATGGTATAACACAGCAGCTAGTTATGACGTCCAAATATGCAGATTGTAGTTTTCGGTAACACTGTTTTAGAATAATTTTTACATGTACTAACAGTAAATTATGCATTATTGCTTGCAACTAACTTTTCATTTCTAGCCCTATATTGCTAATTAATATGACACTGTAAAAAAATCCTGGTTGCCTTCAATTTTTAAGCTGAATCAAATTAACCTTATGAGTCCATTGAATTAATATTATGTTAAACTGACTTAAAACAGCTTGCATAACTTAGAAAATTAAGTTACAACATGATTAACTTAGTTTAAGAAGTTACAATGACCTATACACTTATGCTGTCAAGACTAATTGATCATATCATTTTTTACAGTGTAGTTGTAAATTAACCAGTTAGTTCTAAAATCGTAGTTTATAATAACACATTTTAATGTCTTTAATACGCTAATATCAGAGATATGCAGTTCATGTGACTCTAAATATTGTTAAATATCACTCACATTTTAGTATCCTTATTACGTTTTGCTGTATACAGTTGAAGTCAGAGTTATAAGCCCCCTCTTTGAATTTATTTTTCTTATTTAAACATTTCCCAAAATATTCTTAACAGAGCAAGGATTTTTTTTCACAGTATGTCTTTTTTTTTTTTTCATTTTCGGCTAGAATGAAAGCAGTTTTTCATTTTGTAAAAGCCATTTTAAGGTCAAACTTATTATCCCCTTTAAGCTATATATTTTTTGATAGTGTACAGAACAAACCATTGTTATACAATAACTTGCCTAATTACCCTAACCTGCCTAGTTAACCTAATTAGCCTAGTTAAGCACTTTAAAGTCACTTTAAGCTGTATAGAAGTGTCTAGAAAAATATATTAATAAAATATTATTTAATGTCATCATGGCAAAGAGAAAATAAATCAGTAATAAGAGAGTAGTTATTAAAACTATTATGTTCAGAAATGTGTTGAAAAATCTTCTCTCCGTTAAAGAGAAATTGGAGAAAAAAATAAACAGGGGGGCAAATAATTCAGGTGGACTAATAATTCTGACTTTAACTGTATATCAGCAATCTCAGTAAATTATGCATAATTAATGCAACTGATTTCATATTCCTAAACCTGACCCTACTTTGTTATTTAAAGCTGTTTCAATAATTTTGTAATTAAACTATATGATGGAAACCTTACTATTAGTATGATGTTTACTTTATATATGTACAAAATGTTCATTAAAATCCTTCAAAATCAAATCAATTAAATCCAAAAAAGCATAAAGAAATGAACAATAGCTGTAAGAAATCATTCTAAAACCACGTCATGCCTGAAATGACAAAAAGTCTAATAATGTACCCCTAAATGACATCACAGATCAGAGCTCAGCCAATCCTGAAAAGCCCAATCACACTAGTCTTCATTAGCTTATTGCGAGTATCTGCTGATCTGTCCTTGGCATCGAGACAAATAAAAGAGTAAATGAGAATTTGCATGCAAAAATTAGACTCGAACAGCACTAAAGGGAAGAATGACATTCCAGAACAGGAGCAGGTGGGCGGAGTCTTAAAAGAAATAGGGCAGGGCCTTAGGTGAGCAGGTGTATAAGACTCGAACAGGTGGAAGAGAGAGACGCAAAAGCCGGACCAGGAGTTTGAGCCTGAACAAGCGCAGCAGGGAAATTCAGCACAGGTGAGATAACATCAGCTTCTTTTTTTTTGTAAGCAAATGTAACTGCCAGCGTTTATGCCATAGTCATGCTTTGTCATTTCCTAACGGCTATATATTGAAATGTTTCGATCTTTCAGCTCATCAAGATGCTCAAAGGATTACTGTCAGTGCTCTTGGTCATGGTGGCCTTGTCATCCGCCTTGGGGAAGCCTGAGAAAACCACTCCAAAGAAGGAGAAGGAAAAGAGAGTTCCACAGACTCTCTCCAGAGGTCAGCTTTAGGATCAGAAATCTCTATATTTTCAGAAATGTTTGGTTTTTGGTGTGGTTTAGGGAGCTGCTATAAAAGTGTAGCTAACGTGCAATGCAGAATTTGTTTTTATTGATGTTAGATTTTGCTAATATTCAAGCTGTTCACCTCACTTTTTGCAATTTTTATTGAAATGGCGTACATAGTGGCAATATTGGTTTTTAGATTAATAATCTGCTTTCTTTTGCTTTTAGGATGGGGTGATCAGCTGATTTGGGCACAGACATACGAGGAAGCTCTGTTTTGGTCACGATCCAAGTGAGAAAGATTTGTGTTTTATAGATATGTACAATCAGTAATTTTGGGTGTATAGAACATGTGTTGATATATGATTTTACATGTATTATAATTATTTAGGAACAAGCCCCTCATGGTCATCTTTCACCTGGAAGACTGTCCACACAGCCAGGGTAAATGACTTTTATTTGGAAATTTTGGTTGTGGGTTGATGTTTTTGTTGTTATTTTATTTTTCTTATATTTTTTCCTATCATTTTTTTCTAGCTCTGAAGAAAGCATTTGCTGAGGATAAAGAAATCCAGAAGTTGGCTGATGAAGACTTTGTGATCTTGAACTTGGTGGTGAGTTTACAGTCAAATAAACTGCTTACACTTTACATTAAATTATATTTTCTAACATAATGTTAAATTAAACTGCATTAACTAACCATAACAAATATTCCTAATGCATTGATAGTTATGACTTTGAGTCATTTTCAACTTTTCAACTTCAATTTTTTGCTACTGATGTGTCAAATTCAAGTTATACATGTTATTATTAACAAACGTGAGCTAAAATACCTCTGAAGTAGTTATTATTCTTACTTAAAGTAAATTACAGTATTTTAAAATGCAAGATTTAATCTTAAAATCTGATAATCTTAATTAATGGACCTCAGCCAACATAAACTAATCATATAAATTACAAAACATTTTTTTTTAGTTCATGGTAATTCCAACATTTAAACTTCTAGGCTAAAATTGACCATGGTTTTACAACAAATAAAACCAAAACTATGGCATCTCACAAGTCAACCACATTTTGCCACACTAATCATTAACTATGGTATTTGTACACAGTAAACCCGTGGTTCTACAAATGGCCATTAGAGTAACATACTACAATTCTATTAGGCTATATAACTATTACAATGTTTATTTTTTTTATAATAAAATCCTAAATAATTGAACTAGCAGCAATGTTGAATGCTAATTAGCATCAAGCTTAATATCTCTCATCAATAAATATGTCAGTAATGTGTGGTAAATATGTGGTAAACTTTTTTTTACAGTACGAAACCACAGATAAGCACTTGTCTCCTGATGGCCAGTACGTTCCCAGAATCATCTTTGTTGGTGAGTTGATTCAACCACATCAAATAAATAATGTAACACATTAAAAAGGTCTTACATTAATGATACAAACCTTCCCCATTCACCAGATCCCTCCATGACGGTTCGGGCGGACATCACCGGCCGCTACTCAAACCGAATGTACGCCTATGAACCGGCCGACATGAAACTCTGTAAGTCAGAACGCAGCATGAAATACTAATATTAGCTATTCCTCGCTATTATACTGACAGCGTCGTTTGTTTGGTTTTGTTTCCACAGTGTTGAGCAACATGCAAAGAGCCCTGAAGTTTCTGAAGACCGAGTTGTGAACACAAACGCCTAATCTTTTCGTCCGACGAGAGGATTTGACTTCCCTGAGGGCTGTTATTACTTTGTCATTTGTTTACTGACGGCATGAAACGCACTGTAAAATCCTGTACAAATACACTGAAGTACGTTCTTTAAACACATTCTGTTACGGTTAACCTTCAGTGTTTCATTTTCATGTTTTTTTTCAATAAATGAAGTTATTCGAAAGACGTCTGTCTGTCTATGTACGTTTGTAGTTTATTCAAATCAGCAGCATCTGCCTGTCGTGTGTGCTTTTCCAGTTAACGGAGTCTCCGGTTAATATCCTGGTGGGCGGAGTCTAATTATAACTAGCAGTGAATGTGTTTTTTTTCCAGGCATGTCTGTCGCCTGGTTCCTAGCAGCCTTTGTTATAACCACAGAGCGTGTCAGTGTTTGATTGGTTTGAAGTTGGAGGAAGTTTCATTCCTGAAATGCTCCATTAGGCTGGAATGGGATTTGAAACAATGAAAGCATTAGCACTGTGGGAACTTGACTATTAAATTATAGCCTGGCTAAATTACAACTTTGTGGTCAGTCTTTTTTATGGCATATGGTGTCTTTATATTTCATTAGCTTTTGTTTGTATGTTTATACATTGATTTGTAACTTAAATATAATGCATGCTAAAACATTAATATAACATTGTAATAATATTATTAACCTAATTTACTATAGGTAAATGCTCTCTTGATAAAAACAGATTTTAATTGTTAATTGTAAATTATTCTTTATGCATCCTACATTTCACAAGTAGAATGGCTGGAAAATGAAAAATTCCGAATGTAATATAAACAAAATCAGGAACGCACACACATAGGGCTCAACCTGTGCAGTGCACATGCCCTTCTTAGTCTTGGATAGAAAGTGACATTCCAAAATTATCTGAAGTGCCCCCGCATCTCCACCGGTCCCACCTCCCGCTCTTGAGTTCAGGTTGTGCTTTACATAAACAAGACCAAAAAAAAAAACTAAACACAACAAATAAAAATGGTTAAAAACGGATTAAATGTGTAAAAATGTGATCAAAATGCAAACATCTAAACTATAAACCCTATAAATGAATTATGGAATGGCATACTGGAGCTTGTATATTTTATGAAATTATGCTTGTATAAACTCACTGGTCACTTTATTAGGGACACCTTACTAGTACCGGGTTGGACCCCCTTTTGCCTTCAGAACTGCCCTAATCCTTCATGGCAGAGATTCAACAAGCTGCTGGAAATATTCCTCAGAGATTTTGCTCCGTATTGACATGATAGCACAGATTTGTCAGCTGCACATTCATGATGCGAATCTCCCATTCCACCACATCCCAAAGGTGCTCTATTGGATTGAGATCTGGTGACTGTGGAGGCCTTTGAATACAGTGAACTCATTGTCATGTTCAAGAAGTAAATCTGAGATAATTTTCACTTTATGACATGGCATGTTATCCTGTTGGAAGTAGCCATCAGAAGATTGGTACACTGTGGTCATAAAGGGACGGACATGGTCGGCAACAATATTCAGGTAGGCTGTGGTGTTGACATGATGCTCAATTGGTACTAATGGGCCCAAAGTGTGCCAAGACAATGTCCGACACATCAGTGGTTATTTGAGTTACTGTTGCCTTTCTATTAGCTCGAACCAGTCTGGCCATTCTCCTCTGACCTCTGGCATCAACAAGGCATTTGCGCCCACAGAACTGCGGCTCACTGGATATTTTTTTGTTTTACAGACCATTCTCTGTAAAATCCCAGAAGATCAGCAGTTTCTGAAATACTCAGAATTTCATACTTAGCCTGTCTGGCACCCATTCTGATGCTCAGTTTGAACTGCAGCAAATTGTCTTGACCATGTTTGCATGCCTAAATGCAATGCATTGCTGCTATGTGATTGGCTGATGAGAAATTTGCATTCCCCCTCTCTTCTCAGATGGGATTGTAGGCCAAATCAAAGGTTACCATGGGCCAACTTTGGCCCGCGGGCCCTAGTTTGGGCATGTCTGATTAAATATATATATAATTTTTCAAAGAACTACTTTGCACCTTTTTTGCACAATATAAATATTGGTGAAAACCATAGTACAATGTATAATTTCAACAGTTGTTACAAGATTAGACAGCATTTGTATATGTTGTATATGAGCAATTCCAGCGTTATGGATGTGATATTTGCAGTAAAATCTCAAAACATAAGTTCCCATAGAAAGGATATGTTAACATTATATTGAAACATTTGTTTATATTTTCCAAAACAACTAACCACAAAGTTAAGGGATCGGAAAAATATCAATCTGTAAACATTTTTAATAATTTAAATGAGAAAAATAAAAAAACACGCGCTATGAAGTGATGAAAAAAGTTAGCGAGTTTGCAGTATACAACATACTTTGTATAATTTCTGTGAATTAAACTGCCCTCACTATAGAACAAAAACGTTTGATTTTACTTTCTTTTATTTGACATTTTTTGCATTTATGAGGAAAAAGCTCCCTTATAGATGTGAAATTGGCACTTGTGAGATTTTGGTAAATATACAAATTTAATTGTATGAAAACATTAACAGAGTGTATTTAAGTATTTTTAAAGCAGTCTAAAATACTTAGTTGAACAGAAATCGCAAAAACGGTTTCGCTTTTTAGGCAAAAACTTAATTTTGTCATGGCAAGGTTGACATTTGCATGGAATTGCCTATATTTATCTTTTTACTTCAGCAAGTACTTTTTAAATGGAATATGATAAAGTTAACCAATTCATTTTTCTGTGCCATTTTTATTTTTATCTTAATACTGTTATAACAACGTAAGCCTAAAAAACAGCATTATGCAAACTCAACAACAACTTTACACAATCACCACACTGACCAAAAAACAAAAATGTGACTTCAGAGTCTTTATTTTTTTCAAATGTTTGAAATCGCAGTTCACAGAACCATTGGATATAGATGTACACGTCAATGAGGAATGCATGCAAGAAGCCAAAACGATACACAAAATCAATTCAGTAAAACTAACACACACACACACACGCATACATAATGAAAATAAAATAGGCAATAAATACGTCAAATATGAAACGTGAGATCAGAACAGTGCTTGTGAAAACGCTCTTTCATTATTCTTTATATTTAAATACGGTTTCAACTTGTTCATATTAATATTGAAGTTCGAGTAATGAACTATAGTTATGCTGACACTTTTATTGCAAATTTATTGCATTGAAGTGAATCTGAGCAAGTCTGATTTAACTATGTCGTTCATGCTAACTCTTAACATGTCCACTATTAGACTTTATCAATGTATAACTGAATACATTCTGAAATTTTCACTATATATAAATCATAATGATGAAAACAGCTCATTTTCTGTTAATGCTTTTACTATATGAAATAAAATGGTTAACATTAAACCAAATGGTGTTGATTGTTTAGCCCATTACTGCAAGTACTGCATACTAATATTTGGTGTTGTGTTCTTTCATTACATAACATACAGCCTCATATAACGCACAGTACAGTGCGGTCACACTGTAATCTTGAAAAAATCAAGCACATAATAATATATAGCAGCAAGAACACGCAGGCTGGTCTCCTCTTCTTTTGGGTAAAAGCAAACGCACACTTTCTGTAACAGCTCCAGTGAATATTTCAGTGGTCAAATGACAAAATGAGGAGAATCTGACCTATAGAAAAGCGCTGGGATTCGCCCGTGGGTCCTTCTGGTTCCTGTATCGGTATGTCAGCCAAACACCCAGGATCTGAAACAAGCAGAATAATAATATTGAAAAAAGGAAATAAAATGTAAATATATTTGGTTAAATATACAGTAAACAGCTACTGTGGTTAAACGTCCTGTGAAGTGCTTTGAAATGTGCATTTTTATTCAACCCAAACACGAAGAGAGGTTGGGACATGGTGTATCCCCTCCCCTTTTTGAGAAACAATCAATACCATTTGGTTTTATTATCGTTTTGCCAGTGAGAGTGGTTGAGCTGATACTAGAGAGCATTTAACTGGTTATGATTTGATGATCCATTTAGGCGGAAGAGACAACCTATAAGCTTTAAATGTTTATATCAGTTTATCAGTTATATCGTCATATTGACGTTGTACCCCAGCGTACCCCAATGTGGTGGGGACTTTGTATTTTGTTAGGAAATAAAAATCGTCTTGACATTAGAACCCAACATCAGGCAGACGTCAATGTCCAACAAAAAATCAACCAAATATCAACGTCTAATCACTATGACATCTATCAGACATTGGATTTTGGTCACTTTCCAACACAACCAAATATCAACGTAATTTGACATCATTATTGGACGTCAAAATAACCTTGTCCTCAGACTCTGGCTAGACATTGAATTTTGCTTTCCTGACTTAATGACCTAAATCTAACCTAATTTTATTGCCTTATGGTGTTGTGTGCCTGCTGTGTAGCTTATAGATATCTTAAAAACGAGCAATACTAATACTAGCATCTAAATGTGTTGTTTTAATTTCATAGGACCATTAACGGTTAAAAAAAATAAACTAATAGTAATCACTATACCTCCCAACTGATTTTGTATCACAACAAGTAGACATCTAAAATGTTGTAAAATATGCAAATAAAGCTCTACATAATTAAATATATGCTAATTTGCATATATTTCTAGCACAAAAAACCTGAACACTCGAACTTGGATTAAAAATTCTTGTGTCCACACGTAAATGAGTTTCAAATGACTGAAACTGAATCTTTCTGAAAACTCCGGCTACAATGTGGTTATGAGGACACTACAACTGGGCTGCGTCTGGAATCACCTACTAATCAGTAAGTACTGTATTGAAAGTGGACCTATGGTAAAAATCTACTTTTCAAGCTGTTTGGACAGACATATGTGTAAGTATAGTGTATAGACCGTCATATTGGGGTGATATAAACACAGCCAGTCCTTTTTTTTCAATTTAACAACATAAAAACTGTGGACCAATTGGAGCGGTTTTCAGATCGACCGCAACTTGATGAGGAGTGCGGTCCCCCCGCCCACCAATATTGATTGACAGGCACGCGTCACCATATCCTCAGTTTGTTGTTTCACGTCCGCCATTTTCAGCATGTGAGTCAAAGCAATGTCACTTAAGGTGCATTATTGTATTTTTTTTAGATGTAAGGCTCACTGGGCTCAACACAAGTTCAACTTTTTTATTTTTATTATTATTATCTTTGGGTAACAACCCTTCAATGTAATTCAACGAAGGGTCGAACGACTATTAAATCTAAGGTTTATTTCTCAGTCTCACCTCAGTGAAGCTGAAGAAGAGGCCGATTCCCCCGACGAAGCGCAGTACCTCTCCTGCATGCTCCTGGATCTTTGCTGCACATGTGGTGCAAGTGCTGTAATGAAAACAAGGCTGTGCAGGAGACAAAAAAAAGACATTAGGGACAAACACTTCGATTGTCTTAGTGGAGTGTTATGTTAACATAATACACATGCAAATCATCAGCAGTTGTTATCACCCACACAGTTGTCATTTATAGTTCAGTGTATGAAT